CCGAGGCGGCGGCTGAGGGGCTGCGGGGAGGGGGGGATAGAGGGGGTGCGGGTGCCCGTGTGCATGCTAATGGTGCGGGCACGCCTATCCGCAGGGAACGGGGAGCTCCCCGCAGCTCCTCCGCTGTCACCGCGGCCACACGTGGGGCGGGGGACACGCTGCCGGCCCGGTAAGGCGCTCCGCTCCCTCGCATGGCGGGTGTTCGGCGTGTCACACACACACACACATACATACACACCGCTCCGGGTGTTGGGGTGTCCGGCTGCGGGGCTGGATGGGGCTCGGGGTGGGGAAGGAGGGAGGGCAGGGGAGCCGGCTGTCAGCTCGGCAGGCACTGCCCAGCCTGCTTCTATAGCGCTGTGCTGCCCGGGGGGGGGCACGCATAGTAGCATTTATAGCTTAAAAAAGAAAAAAAAAAGAAGAAAGATTAATAACTGCTGTTAAAAGAAAGCGCCTAAGTTAGGTGGTTATACGGGGAGTGTGTTTTCTGAGCCCTGGCACAGAAGGTGTGTGCCCGTGCTGGCACCCGCTCTCAGAAATCAACTTGTGTGCGCCCACAGAGTGCTATGGATTTCAGTGTGGGGTTATTATTAATGGTTTTCACGAAGCTCTGGCTGTGGAACGCGTGTGCTGATCTGAGTGGTTTTTTTCCTGAGTGTTTTTGCGTTAGATTAGGTCTCATCAGTTGGTGTTGCATGAACCCACAGAGATCGAGGGCAGGCAAACATGTGTCTTTTCGCTTGTTTACCTGAAAACTGTTTTGAGCCCTCCCTCCTCCTTTTTTTTTGAACACAAGGGTGGCTTTTGATATGAGTGATGCCCTGGATAAAAGCCATTTGGTAACTTCTGTGTTTTGTTCTGTTTTTTAAAGTTCACGCTTCTCAAAATATAACCTTTGCCTTGACCCATCGCATACCTCTCCTCCCTGTGGCAAGAGCACATTGGCGTGTGCTTGGCTTGTTAAATATGGATTTCTGGTGTGGTGTGTGCAGGTGTAGTACCCTTCCCAATCCTGCTCCTTTACAGACCAGTCTGGCTTCGTTCCAGGGTTCAGATGGCGGAGGTGTTGGGTGACAGTGGAAGGCCAGGAAGAGCTCATTTTAGAAATCTGTAATGATTTGGGTGTGTCGAGTTTTCGCGTGCTCAACTTGCACCTAAGGGTCCTTCAGCCCCCTCCCGCCAGAAAGCGTTGACATCTTTGCCTTCTGAAAGTGCTGTTGTGTAAGAGTCACCGAAATGACTATTCAGATTTGCTGGTCGCTTTGGAAGAGAAACTCTTACCACCTCTGGCTCCCTATTTTCTTGCCAGCTCCTACGTTGCCTTTACTGCTAGAGTTATAACAATTCATAAAATGACACTACAGAAGTGTGCTATTTTAAGTTTTCTAGTTACTATATATCAGAACCTTCTATAACTTTCTTTACAAGACTTAA